CATTGATCAATTGCCAGAGAAGATGGTAACAAGTATTTTTTGAGTATCAGACAGCACAGCAAAACTTGGAAGTGACAACTGAACAAGGGAGGGGGGGTCACTGGAATAATTCAGCATCTTATTTTAATCACCACATTTTCTGCTCTTTGATGCCTATGGCAAAATTGTGATGCAGGTGTGTTCATTCCTATCTCATCATATTAGATCTTGTTCTGAGATACAAACAGCAGCTACACCAACTGGATGCAATGAAGGTTTGTACCAGAAAGCCATGTGTTTCAGAGCAGTGATGGAAGGATGACTATCACATCAGTTCTGTAGCTTATCACCATACAAACTTAGTTTGCATTTGTTATGGGTTTTCTGTTAGAGGATGTGGCCACAAATCAGAGGTTGGCAAGGAAAGAATTACTCTAACCTCTTTGATTAAAGAAAGTTGAGGCTGTGCCTGCATCAGTGATAGCTGAGGAGGTGAGCCTGTGAGTTGCTACTCCTGGGGTGCCACCGTGGGACCCTTCTGGGAGTGTCCCAGCAGAAGAATTCATCCCCATCCTGGACAGGCAGGCAGCTGCTGAGAGGGTGCCAAAACTGGACATAACATGGCCTGTCCTGCCAATTCCTACTGGGCCTCCCAGCCATAGGGAAACCACCTCCAGTGAAAGACTTTTCTTTTACCACCTTTACTGCAGGATGTTACTTGAGATAAAACCAGAGCTCACTTTTCAGTGAAGATGATCCTGAACCTGGGGATAGACACCACCCTGAGTGTGTGGGGTCTCTCCTGAGTGGGAATGGCAGGATCCCATCAGCCATGGGCAGGGAAATTATTCATGTCCTTAGCCCTGACTAAGCATGGGCTTGGGCTCGCTGCTGTCACGGAGACAAGCGACTTTTATCAATCCATTTTCAGCAGTGTTTGGGCCAGACCCCTGCCTTATTGAAACAGTTGAAGCAGGTAGGACATCAGAGGGGATGGCCAATATCTGCAGAGCAGAGCAGAAAAGAGAAGCAAAGTATCTGTCATCTCTTTTCTATATTATTTCACTGAAAGGTATTTTAGGCCTTTGACTGCAGCAAACCACGGCCGTTTCTCAGTTTAATTCTTTGGTGCAACAAGGCTTGGCTGGGCAGGTTGGAGCTCTAACCCCTTGCAGATTTCCATTTCCCAGCCAGCAGCACAGGCTAACAGTGTCTTTATCTGCACAGGAAGGTTGAGCCAGCACCCCGGAGGTCTCTGCCTCTGGTAGGAACAAAGATATCAAAACCCATCACTGAAATAGTTACAGCCTCCCTGCACCTTCAGATAACTCTTGTGCTGATCTAGGCTGATGAGAGAGTTAATGAAACTTGAAAGAGAGGCAGCGGGCAGGAAAGCACACCTGCAGGCACCCTGTCAAAGCTCTTTGGGGACTGCCTTCACTGGGAGGGCCATGGCAGGCTTGCAGCTGGGCTGGCAGGAACTGGGAGATGCAGAGGTGGTCTGTATGGTTAGTGTAGAAACCTGTCTGGGGAGAGCTTCCTGAAACTTTCTTCTTCGATTCTCTGACAGATGTGTGCACAGAGCACGTCTTGGAGCTGTGGTGATGAGTAGTGATTGAATCGAGTAGTAAAAGTTGTTTCCCCATGAAACGAAATTTCCTTGGGTGTGAATCAAGCTAGGCTGTAAATGAGGGCCTGTGCAGCCTGAGAAGAGGAGGCTCTTATTCTGATACTCGAATAGATTGGAAAAATGCCTTCTAGAAATGTCATTTATCAAGAGGGATTGTAGAAAAAACCCAAACAACCAACAATCTGATCACAGATAATTTATGGAAAAATAATAGCAGAGTGAATACATTTTGCAGCCCTTAACAATGAGCTGCATAACCACCTCTGGCTTGCAAACATGGATGAAGGCAGAATTTGGTCCTCTATGGTCTATCTTCATTATCTTACCTCCATCAGTCACTGAGAGCAAAGAAGTCACAAACAAGTTTATGCTGGTAGCAGGGTCTTCAGTGAATACTGCTGAGACATCAAAGTCAAGTTCAAAGAAAAGAGCAAACAAAGGGAACAAGTACATTTGGTCAGGAAGCACGACTTCCTTTTGAATTAAGACATTAGCCTGGTGATTGAAAGATGTGACCAATGTCTTTCCTTGGCCACCCAGGCAGAACACTACCATTGCTCTGGAGCAACATCTGGGATGTTGCCTGACTCCCCCCGTGTTAGGGAACAAGGACACAGGCAAAATGCAGACCAGTGCCTCAAAATCATTCTTTACCAAATTGAAATATTTTTAACATGCTCTTTAAAAAATGAAACAGCAACCAACAGAAAAAAACAAACCCAATGCATTTTAAATAGATTTCTAGGAACAAGGGTTTTTTCTGTGCTTTACCATCACACCTTTCTCAAATTAGGACTGAGGTAAAAATACAAATAAATATGGCAGGAGTAAGAGGTGATGATTATGATGCTCCTGTCACAACCCTACACATCCTTTACTTATGTGCCTGATTGTGGGAGCTTGTGGGAGGGCTGATTGCCTGGTCTGGATAAGGATCAAGATCACAAATACTGAGGAAAAGTCTTCTGGCTTTTTTGACGGATCACTCTACTACAGAATATTCGATGCTGTGCTTGCTCTCTGCTTTACCCTCAGCAGATTTGTTATTTTGCTCCTAACTACTAAGTCTGGCTCTTTCATTCAAGCTCTCTTTTTTTTTTTCCAAACCAATCCAAGCTCTGACTCTTTTACAGTTTAGGCTTAGAGCTGTCACATAGGTCAGACCTGTGGGTGTAGAACCCTTGGGATTCTCTGCATAGAAAGCTGGAGGATTACAGGGCATTAGCTGGGAAACACCTCACACTCTGGTATTTTCTTTTATTTTTGCCCTGGCTCCTTTGCCTCTTCATTTTTAATTAGAGGCACATGCTGAAATGATAATTTAAATTCTTTTCAGAAATCAAAATAATTCCCACTGACATTATTAAATTATAATTACACCGAAGAAAAAGGTTAATAGAAATTTGATCCAAATATCCACTCTCCATTAAATGAGAACTTGACTGAACCTGCTTTGCCTTCGTTCTGGTAGGTTACTCTAGATTTAAAAGGACACAGGTTGACTATACACCTGTGCAAAGGGCCACTGCAAGGCCAAGGAGCTGTCACCAAGAGCATTTACACAGACCTGTCTCGGGATAGGTGTTGCCTGTCTGATGCTCAAGATGGAATTTACCGTATGCGTAGGACTTGGGCCTCTGAAAGATGTGTGTTTCAGACAGCGAGCAGAGCACAGCCACATGGGGATATTTGTATGAGAAAGACATGTAGGAGGTGGCACTTTGTTGCAAAGGAAACCTAGCCAGTGTTGGTGGAGGGAAAATAATTAGGTTTCTGGGTACAGTATCCAAAGAAAGCCTCTTCCTTCGCTCAAGCTGAGCACCACACGCATGCAGAAACATGTGCAAATCAGTCTTGATCTACTAAGTCCTTTGCATTTTCAGTAAAATGAGAAAGCAGGGAAGAAACATTTTCCTCTGTATTAGCTCTTAGTGTGCCCGTCAACAAGACAATTATTATAGTCGTTTTACATGTTTAAAATGGGTTTTAAAGCAACCAAAGGTGTAGGGGAGAAAATGCCCACTCCTGCAGGCAAAGCCTCTGTGGCTCCTGGCACTGGGATAATGATCAGTTTAAATTTATCCAGGATTGGTGCAGTTACCACGTGAGCCCTACAAGGCAGGAGCTTTGCCTTGAAGAACTGTTGTAAGCTTGGTGTTTCTTTCTCCCCCTTTTTTTTTTTTTTTTTCCCCTTTTTCCTGTGCTGTAACAGGTTGCTTAAGCTGTGTGGCATGCCTCAAGTCAGGCCTTTCCCTCTTTCCACTTTGCACACCATCAAGTCCTGCAGTCCCCTCTCACATCTTGCACAAGCGTTTTTCTGGCATGAGCCTGCAGCTTCGGCACAGGCCAGTGCTCCCACAGACTTCCCCTTCTCTGTAATCCATGCTCAGCACCGGAGTCCTGCCTGCGGTAACCGCTGAGAAACTGCCTCGGGGCTGCCTCTCCCCAGCCCCCCAGCATTTGGTTGAGAGCCCAAGCCACACGTGTGGGATAGATGTGAAATACAGGCAAAACGTGGAGGGGGCTGCTGCAAGCACTAGTCCCTTCTTACACTGAAAGCTGAAAGCACATGAGAAGGGACCTTTGCAGAGAGGGAAAAAGGCCTTTTTGCTCCTCCTTTTCTGTGCACTGAATGGTGTGAAGGCTGGTGTGTGACTTCAGCTGGGAGGACAAGGTAGGCTGCTGGTGAAGTAGCAAAAAGGACTGGAAGGCACCTTTGGGGCTCAGCCCATACATGACTACACTTCCATCATGGACCTGAAGTGTGCTCTCATGAATATCAGTCTGATCTTCAAGGGCATCAACTTAGATTTCTGCAATTTATTTTCAAGCTACTAAATAAAATGCCCTTTTTTTTTTTTTCCTGGCAGGTTGCGTCTTCTTGTTTGTTTGTTTTGTTTTTTGGGAATTATTTTTATCTCTAGTCTTCCTAGGTCTGACTGTTACTCAGCACTTGAGCCGCATGAGGCTCTGCAGGTCTGCCCAATTATTTGCTGTGCAGCATAATGCACCAGGGCTTCAAAGTGTATTCTCACCTCTCTTCTTTTAAGACAAGTGTGAAAAAACTTGTTCTACAGTGAGCACTGTGGGAGAAGGGCAGGTTTTGCACAAAAGGTGCAGTAGGTCTCCCACTGACTGAAGCTGACCAGGACTTGGGTGTCACTAAACGTGTGCCTTGAGACCACAACGTGCTCAGTACTTAGTGTTTTGTGCTGTGTTCCTTCCACTTCCTTAGCAATCAATGAGAACAGAGGATTTTGAGGCTTTCTATGGTGTGCAAAACCCTATTCCTTACTTATCCAAGTGCACTGGGAAAAACCTTCTTGGCTTGACTGTTGCCTTTAAAACCACCACCAAAACACTAAGGACAAACAAGACTAGGAGACCATATGGTTTAAGTAAAAAAGAACACACTTTATTTATCTACAAGGCAGTACATTGTTGTATAAAAAATTAAGTGCAGATGAAGCTGCACCAAATGCTATTAAGGCAGCAAATTCAAAGGCTGTTATAAAAAACCAAAACAATAAAAAAATAAAATAAAATCAGTGTTTTGCCATATCAATAAAGAGTTGATACGGCAGTACAAAGAACCATGTATTTCTAAGAACCTGATTCAGTACACAAGACCCAAGTTAGGGAACAACTAGCTAGACATGGAACAAAAGAGACAACATGAACAAGACAGTGTTCTCCCAAACATATGAAGGTGCAATGCATGCTGTTACAAACCAATGAGAAACAAAACAACACATCCAGACAAAAAAAAAAATCTCCCATGAACAGTGTTCAAAAATATTGCTTATAAAAAAAGGTTCAAAAAAGATAAATGATGTAAAAAAAATTAAAACAAAAAGGTCTGAAATGCTAGTGCATAGTCAATTAGCTAACATCAACATTTCTTTTCTTTCCATAAAGCTCTACTGCTCCTTTTACACTAGCAGCATGTCTACACGCTAAGGTCTGTAGCAGCAAAACACAGTATTCATTTGGCATTTACAAAATTAAATTACTGAATAAAAATATATTTTTTCTCATAAATCTATGTTTCATACAGTAATATTTTTTAAAGCAAGCTAATTACCCACCCCCCCCCTCAACAGAAACACACAATGTATAATGGTCTAGAACCAAAACAGAAAAGAGTATTTCAAGAGGCATGGGTATTTGAGTATTCACGATCTTGATCGGTTTTCCCCTTTTGCACAGACAAGCGTTTATAGTAATGCTTTTCACTTCAGTATTTTACACCAATGCATTTTGTTCAGTGACTTAAAATATATCTGTTTGAGTACCTGCTCTTTTATTATTAAAGAAAAATAAAAAAAGAAACAAAACCCCACCCCTTGGCTAGCACATCACTGAAATAACAATACTGGTGTATTAAGTCTGCTTGATCTCAAAAAGTACAAGAAAAATTGTCTTTATTATAAGTCTGCACTTAAGATCATTAATTACTGATTCAAACTCAATACCTAATAATTTAGGCAAGTATCATTAAAAAAAAAACCAACTCTTAAGTTGGGCGAAATCCAACAAGAATATATATGCTGAGTGAGTAAATGCACTTTGTGCTGCTCCCAACTGTTGTACCACAACAAAGATAGGCTCTTCTCCCATTCATGAAAAGTTTTCATGCAGAGGAACAGGAATTTCCCAGCAGAGGTGAAGTGTTCTCAAAACCATAATGCTTCTCTATTCGTCAACCTTTTCACATCACCAGAGTCCGGGTGGGGAAGGTGGCCATGTACTTGCGTGCCTGATCCGTCAGAGCCATCTGATCTTCGATTTTCCCACAGGATGCTGACTCCCAGGCGTTGTTCAGATGCTAAATTAGAAAACAGAGAGATTTGAGTTGCACGCCATGTGATTTATCCATAGTCTCAGCCAAAGCCAGGCCCACTTCTAATTAACTGTTGCATGAACATGCAGAAGTATGTTGTCCCATCTCCAGAGAAACTGAAAACTCAAATCTCAACACAACAAGCAAAAAAAAAAATCACCTCTGCTCCTCAGTTAGTGATCATACGGACAGGCAGAGCAGATGATCTGCACAGGGGTGCAACACAAGAGTGAGGATCATAATCTCTGTGCTTCTCTCTCACAGACAATGTCTTTTCTATGAGGCAAATCTATAGCCTTGCCTTTAATCATTCCTTTATATGACAGGTCTAAAAGAGAATATACTTGGCAGGTGGACTTTACAGTCAACAGAGCACAGTTGGGCTAAAGCCCACAGTTACAATGTTCAGTGCTATGACCATGCACAAATTCCTGCTGAACCTCTATTCCAGAAATACAGCTGTGCTGTCCTCGAGTTCCCTAAACAAACCCAACAACCTTGACCACACAGCCAATGAAAAATCCCGTGCTCAAGGCTGCTTTCACCTGTGCACAGTGATTAGCACGTGCCCATTAGCTCCGCTCCTCCAGCAAAGGAGAAGGGGAGGGGGGCTCGACTCTCAGCAGAAACAGCATTTTAATTATCATGTAAGCCATTTCACTTCTTGTGGTATTTATGGAGGTTACAGACACCATTTAGTATAATGTTAAAGTGAGATAAACATATCTGCAGAGGGCTGTGCGCACTGTATTTATTTACTCACTACACATGTGAGACGTTTCTCATTGCCTTGAGCTATAAACAGTAATGAAATTTCAAAGCTCCTGGAATTTACCAGTATACACACACTTCTTTTTTTTTCTATTGAACTCTTTCACTTACCCATTGTGTCTGCTTTTCCACATTGAGAATAAGCCCTGAATAACAACTCTATTATCACACAGAGTTTGCTGTATGAGTACTCTGCATGCCAAAAATGCACACAATTGTGCTTAACAGAAAGCTGCCTGCCCACAAGGGGTCCCGGTACTGCTGAATGTTGAGGTGTATGCTCAAGATTCACCAATAAAAACAAGTCAGAAGAAACCCTTCTGTTTTCCATTGCTTTCAAAAAGGATCATCTTTGCAGTTCAATAACTATGTTGTTCGATGACATGGCCAATGCCTTCCCAACATCTAGAACACTGTGTGAAGCATAATTACTGGACTGCAAACCATCTGCTAAGAGCAGAACTGTCCTGGTGTGCCCATGGCTCTTTATGCTGCTAGTTGCTAACTTGGCAAGAGGATCCTTAAATTATTTTCTGGCCTAAATGTTTAGAGAATGCTCTCCTGACTGTAAACACTGTTATCTGAGACATACAGATAGCAAAAGGCTGGGCAACATATGAAATATAGATACTTTCACATAACATGCCCTAATCAGGGCACTGGTACAAACACAGGGACCAAGGTTCCCTGCCTTGGAGGGCTTAAAGTCTAAAGAGGGACCAAACCAGTGAACAATGAAGCAGAATGACCAACATGAGGGAAAGCACGTTAGTCCTCTGTAAACTTCTGCTGGGTTTCCCTAGAGATGGCTTTCTCTTCTCTGTAGAGAAGTACCAAATATTGTCTCCGCTCCTGATGCCATTTTCCAAGCAAAACTCCTGCTGAGCTCCTGTGGGAGTTCCCTATCCGAAGAAGAACCAGGTCAGGCCTCAAATCATTAAGTTTCTGCAGCTTTTTATGGGAAAGCTGCATCTGTGAGGTGAACAAACATGCCATACACCTCTTTTCTAGAGCAGTTCAATGCAGCCTGGCTGTATACCTTGTGCTGTGGCTCAGACTAAGGCACATGCCACAGCCAGAAAGCAGGTGTGACATACTTTCTGCATGCCGCAGACATGCATGCAACACGCCACAGCTTCTTTTATGTTTTGGTAAACAGCTTCCAGGGGAACTTTTTCAAAGGCACCTACATGAGCTGGGAACCAACAAGCTCCTATTGATCCTCAGTGGGACTCAGGCACCTGTGAATATTTTCCCCTACTCTTTTAGAGGTATTTGTATCAGGGACCAAATCAATGCCTGGTACAATGCCACTGGTTTTACTTAGAAGTTGAATTTGATCTGTACACCTCAAAAACAGTTGGTAGTTCCAGAATATCCATCATTTCAACACGAATATGTGTCTGACAGGTACTTCCCTATGATCCCCCAAAGCCTCAATGCACTGGTCTAGAAATGAGAGATCAGCAGGCCCTTAAATAACTGAAAACATGTAAGGAAAAGTCCATTTGTCACAGTACGTCAATTTTTAAAAAATAGAAGTAACTTCAGGTAAGGAGTGTCCCTATTTCATAAATTAGGCTTAATCGTTAGTATCTACACTGGTTCTTTGTATTAGCAGCCATGTGCCTGGTAGAAAAAAAATAATAAATCTGTATCCTGGTATCTCCAACATCTCAGCAGGCTGCTACATGTCACTCATTCCACTGAGAGCCTGGTCTTCATTTAACCTGATGTCAGTGTGGCAGAAGCTGCTCAGGCAGGCAATAACCCTCTGCCCTCCCACTGGGCTTGGCCACCCTGGGGAGAACTCGGAGGTAGATACAGCAAGTGACAGGAGGACCAGCTCAACCCCACACTTGAGCCTGCTTCAAATGATTTCAGTTTTGCTGTAGGGATAGCATGGGAGAGTATCCTCACACAGTTTTGACCCATGTATTAATTTTCCCAGAAATGCATTACACTAATTTTTTCCTCCTGTGACAAACTTATAAGAAGAGACTATCTTTGTATCTCAGTGAGAGCTTTGCTTTAGTGAAGAAAGTAGAATTTGACCAAAAGTAATGTTTTCTGATGTAGCATATTTACTAAGACAGTTTTCAGTTCTACCCTGGGGAACTGAGAGAACATTTACAGTGGGTATTTTTAATAAACATTTTCTATCTGAAGTCTTGACTCTTGGCAGCCAACACAAAACAAAGTACAATGCCTTTGCCTTGCCAGCCCTGCAGTGCAGTGCCAGAGGCACGTGTGAAAGTCATCCTGACGCAAGAAGATTTCCTTCCCTCCTTGGCAGGGAATGCTGGGTCCCACGACCCAGGCAGAGCACCCTGATGGGCCTGGTCACACACAGCTACGGGATCTCTTAGTAAAAAGGATAAAAAGGGATGCCACAATGTCTCCTTCCATGCCAGGTTCGCAGCAAGTACTAACAGGGCTGATACAAGACAGTAGCAGCGCCCCAGAGAAAGCAGTGCTCCTCAAATGCATCACAAGAAAAGAGACCCAGGGAGAAAGCTAGAGGCACACAGGAAAACAGCACAGAAACTCCTGTCAGAACACTCTTTTTGCAGAAAGCTCATTGCATCCTCCTGATCACATTTAAAGTCTCAACTCTGCAAATCAATGGATGGAAACACAAGAGCTTTGTAACCATAAGCCAAAAAGCCTCATCCAAAATCCACCAGAACTGATAGACACGTGTTCATTGATTCAGTGGATTCACCCTACTTAAATTCAGTCATTTAAGAGTGAGGTGTTTGTTTTGGCACCTAAATTCCCAGACATTGGGAAGTGAAAGGGATTTCCACAGTAAATTCTTCCCATATACATAATTTTTAAATTGCCTAAAAGAGTAGCAAACTAGTTATAGTTTTGCTGTCAATTAGAAGAGTTTAAGCCTTTTCAGCCAGTACTTCCAGCTGTATTTTTCTCTTCTACACACAGCAATTTCTCCTCTTAAGTTAAATCAGGGAGTGGGGGGAAGAAAAAGGTATACAACTACAAATTTCCACAGGATAAAATTACAGACCCATAGTACAATTCCAGCTACGTAATTCTCCCTAGCCCTTTTTTTTTTCTTTTTTTTTTACTTCAATAATCCTACCAGTATATCCTTCTCCTGGCAGTAAAACTACCTTACTTATCCTGTAATATGCCTTCAACTGCCCTCAGGCAGATGTGAACTGTAAACAAACCGTCAAAGTTGTAACTGGGACATCCAGTTAAAGCACTTTAAATAAAAACTTGGACCACCTAAAGAAAACAAGGCTGGAGTAAAGGAAGAAAAGATTGTGGAAAGGTGCTTTTCTCACAGAACTTGTCCTGCTGCACTTGTAGCTGGGACCGCCTTCTCACGTGCTGATCTCTAGAGCTTAAGAAAGCTCCTGTGTTACAACACCTTGTGTGTTAGGAACTGATGCCAAAACCAAACATCGCTGCAGTCCTGCAGTACTGAGCTCCCAAACTGATGAAAGTGCGGCAAAAATCCTCGGGCAAAGAATTGTGTTAGGAAATAGGTTTTAAATCTCCACTTTCCTGGCAAGTATCTTCAGCAACTCCAAAGTTAGTGGTTTTACACACATTCCCATTAATTTAGCCAAGCTGTGCTGGCATTTATTAAAAAAAAACCAAACCTAAGATTTTTAAAATATTTAGAGCGCTCAAACTATTTGAAGATCTCTTATGTTTTTCTGCTGGATGTATTTGTTCCAAAAGATCCAAAAAGATGGATTTGTTGCCATTTTTCCCTTAGATTGCATGGTATGGATAGTTTGTAGAACACGCCACTGACTGAAAAGAGGGCTTGGAACAGAAATGTGATACTCCTTCTGAAACAGTAAAACAGTGTCCTAAGCAAAACAATTTTTCAGCAGAATACAATGAATATCATGTAGAATAACATGGCTTTCTGTTCTGTAAGGATGTAGTACCAAGAGCAGCCTTTTAATTATCAATACCAGACTAATGAAAAACTCAAGAGACCATAAATGAATTCTACTTCATATGCTAAGACAGAGCATCATATGCCAAGACAGACCATTTCTGCTCATGTTGCTAGTTCTCCCCTCAAGCATGGGACAGACTTCTCCTAAACTCTGGGGCTTTCCCAGTTGCTCGGAAATACAGCTTGCTAAATGTGACAGAAGAAGAAGGTCCAACTTTTCAGCTTTTATAAGCATGATACCAGAGCTAGAAAAAGCTATTTGACGGCACATTTAAGAGCTTAACCCTGAAGCCCTTGCTTAGACAAAATTCCTGCTCAAAGTGTGTTGACTTTCCAGGTAAGATTAATGGATGGGATATGGAAGTGGGCTAAGCATCTGCAGCTCACACTAGGATATTCAATCCCTTCCCAGATTTTGTCCTTAAGTAATTTTTTTTTCCCACAAATCAGAACACATTGCTGCAAATGGGTAATAGTTAAGTTGTCACTTTTGTTCTTTCTGAGAGACCACCACCAGCTTAGGACAGCTCTATCTGATCTGTTTGCAATGTAAATTCTGCTGCCCTGGATGGAAAACATGCAATGACTGATCTGTAACTATGAAGCTCCTCTTGCTCCCTCACCTGTGCCAAGCACAGCTCTTTCCTGTACACATCAGTCACTGGTGAGAGAAGGGGCAACACAAGTGAGGGAAACCCATGGGGCTACCTTCCCTTGCTGTGCAAATCTCAAACACAGCATGCTTCCCCCTCTCCCTTGATTAAACAAAGAAGAGTACTAGATTTCAAGGTCTTCTTGCCCCAAAAAAGCAACGGAGGAAAACAAGAGAAAGCTTGCTGCGGCAGGAGATAATGCTGCCTTCCTGGACAAATTATCTTTCAACCAGCTGCAAATGAAATAACATTTCACTTTTTAAAATGAGAAAATTAAGCTTCATGACAGTTTACACTCTTGAAAAAAGGTTAACCAAGTAACTGTTTTAAAATCCTTTAAACTTACTCTTTAAAGAAAATGGTTACATAAACCACTGAAAGTCAGGAAATTCGAGCTGAAACGTGTCAGTCTGTGGTTAAAAAATGGAAAGTGACAGGAGCTAGGGGTTGAAGAACGTTCTCTTTAGCTTGCAGGGCTTCTACCTTGTGTTGTTTCCTTTGTTACTGGGGGAAGAAGATATCAAAGCAGTGCTATTTTCTTAAAAGGTTCCATTTCATGGTGTCTTTTGATAGCCTGCAGGTTTGGGTGGAAGGTCTGTGATTTAGCCTACTTTTCTATCTGTTACAATGTCTATGTTAGGATAGTTTGTATTATGTACCGCTACTGTTACAGAACATAATGTGAAATAAAATCTAACTTTTACATAGGGAAGGCCAGAAAGAGAGGTTTTTTATGTAACCTCTTACAAGGCACTATTCAAGCACATGCTCAGTATTGGAGTAGGTTATCCCAAAATCTTAATCCTTAGAAAAGTTGCTCATAAGGTCAGAACCTCCCTGCCATGTAAGTTACAAAAATATAGGATGGAAAAATACAGGTTTTAACTAACTCCACCAATATAAAGCAGAAGTATTTGGGATCTGTGCAATGGACTATTAAGTCCACCCCAAGGAAACATATGGGTTTGGGTGAGACATCGCCTGTTCCTGCCAGCAAGATAATACTCAACGCACAACCACGAGATTTGTTGAGTAGGACAAAAAAACTGGCTGAACCTTCACATCTTAGCAGAAAGATCTTATACACAACTACCTTTACATCCAATGTCAGAGAGAGACTTAACCAAGGGATTGAATGGGGATCAAGCCCAAACTCTTCTTGGGTCTAAGGGGCCTTCTCCTCCCATTGCTCTAGTACAACATTGACACCACCACATCCCCAGTGCTGTTGTATGCAGCTACCTGACCTCACATGCCAAATTGTGCAACATGCTGTTCCTCCTAAGTGATCATGAATCATTTTGTGCTATCTGATGCGGTCACCAGCTATTATTTACTAAATTGCATATGATCAGTTGTGTATCCAAAACGCAGTAAAAAATATCCCTGGAGATCTGTTTGAACACTTGTTACTCTTGCCTTCTTTGGAATTTAACAGCAAAACCATAAGTAATCAAGCATTTTGATTGGTTTATTGCTACCCAAATATCTTTATGTAAATGAAGAGCAAATTACTAAAGCAGTGAAAAATACTGTGAGCTGGTAAATATACTGCCTCCCTCTTATATAAGTTCAAATTTAAAAGAAAAGGGAGTTTTAAAACACAAGCATATTAAAAAAAATAAGTTCTGTGCTCTCTTTCTTTCTTTCTTCCCTCTTCATGCACAGATCCCAAGGTGCAGAGAGTGCTATAATTCTTACTTGGACTGAAGACAATGAGAATTTGCCTAAGAACAGTTGGATCAGGTCCAAAATATTAACAGTAGCAATGTCAACATATGCAGACAAAATTAAATTTCACCCAGATCAGCTTCCTCGTGTTTCAAGTCTATTTGCATGGAATCAATGGATTTAGACCACTGTTCACATGTGTGTCCATGCATGTGTTCATGTATGAGGCAATATACTAAATTAGAAACTGGGAAATGTAGAAAGCATAAAACAAAACATGCCAAAAACTGATTATGTACAAAATGCAACCAATCAACAAACATAAACACTAACCTTCTCCATCGCTTTGCACCCTTTAGACATGCTATGTCCTCATCATACAAGCCCATTTGCACTGGGGTGGAAGAGGAGAAGCATTAGGGACAGAACAGCAGCAGTTTTTGGTGTGAAAAAGGGTTAGACCACATATCTTTTCTGAGCCTCACGGGGCCAAATTTTTCCCCTCTGAAATGAAGCCAAGCAGCCTTACCATCACTTTTGACCACGATACCAAATCCAAGTCAGAGAGCGCAGCCATCAGCAGACAATACTGCATTATTGTAAAAAGCCTGAATTTCATCCTGAAAAAGCTGTCTCTGCCACCATTAGAGAACCCCCTAGTCTTCATTTAAGATTATATTTCAACTGAAAAGGTTAACGCTTCATCAGCAGAGAGAACAATTTTACCTTCATACTAGTACAACAAGAAACTGCATACTAATTATTAATTTTGGGTCTTTTTACAACTACTTTTTCTTTCAGTTCAACACACTTTAAACTCTAGGATGAGTTGGGAAGTCCTTTTTAACTCAGTTCCAACTTAAGAAAAAGTCCTCTTTATCCAAACAATGAGAATAGCTGACTTTTAACATGCTTTTCCTGAGAAAGGACTGAAGAATTGAATCCAGAATGATCCACAAATTGACTCGTGTAAACTTCCTGAACAAAATCAGCATGAGTGAGGACAGAAGGTTAAACAAGCCCTTTCATTTACAGCAGCTTATAAAGAAATTATTTTTAGATAGCAGGAAATATAACACTGTTACACCAAAGATCAAAGGATCCTATTTTACAGGCACCTCAGATGCTTCTTTTTTATTACAGCCAGAGTGCAGGCAACTACCACTAATAGGACAACACACACAATACACTGTTTAGCTACCTGAAAATGTTGCCCTAAACCTATGGAGTAGCCTGGAGTTTGGCTAGGGTCACAGGTCACAGCTGGCATGCTGGCAAGGCAGCAGAGCTGAGGCAGATGTCCAGAAACTTCAGCAACTCCCTGCAAAGTTGGAGACCTAGGCTCCTTTGCCATGACGTGGTCTAAATTCAGTCCCTATGTACCTGCCCTAGACCAGGGGCAATGGATCTTCAAGCCCTTCTCTCAGCCATCTACCACAGTGTAGCTAAAAAAATCGAGTTAATGAGAAAAGAGAAGATAAGCAATAGAGAGTATGAGTCTTTGGCCCCTACAGACACCCCTGTGCTGAGGGGAGACATAGTCCCTGCTCTCCAAAGCTGTTTTTCATCAAATGAATCTGCAGCGCACAGTACAAGCCTACTGCATGGCAAACCGTGCCAAACGGGGACATGTGTAAAATTTTATTATCTCCCTTTTTAATGCCTGGGTAGAAATGTTTAATCAAAACCAGCCGTTGTTCATTCCTTCCTACTGTAAGTAAACCCTAATGTAAATTCTGGAAAGAGGGAGGAAAGAAAGGATTAGCCATGTGGACTATCTGTCTGAAAGTCATGAACTACCGAGTTACAATTTCCTTTCTGACAGTGACTCACCCTGGGGAATGACACGCTTTCCTTTAATTCTCCCATGTGGAAAAAGGCTACAAAAATCACATTAATCTACCTCAAAAATAAGGGTTGTGACGGAAGGATAATTAATCACTACCTACATTCTGTTTTATTTTCTGAATGACTTGTTGTGGGGCCCATCTAAAGTCCACAAGAGCTGACAAAACAGCTACTAATGACTTTGGTGGACTTTAGATCAGGCCTTACGTAACAGCTCTGTTTTAAAGTGTAGCAAATGTAGACGTTTGTTAACACTTGGCAAAAACACAGATACGTAAAACCCAGCCTCACATCTGTCTTACATTACAACAATCACACATTTAATTAATTTCAGAGGTGCCCAGATGTACAGCTGGTCATAAGGGTTAAAGGCCCCTTCAAACCACCAGTTACAACTGCATTTCTGGACCAGCCTCAGCCAACACTCAGGGAAAGGCCATCCTGGTGCTGGCCTGGATGGGCAACACTGGCCACACCTGTGTCAGGCAGTGCTAGAGCCTTCTCCTCTCACCCCTAGGCCAGTGCCAAGTTCTGGCCACCACCAAACCAATCAACTCGCCTGCTCTCCAAAATAGCAGTGCTGCCTACAAGAAGTCCATAGAAAAAAGCCTCTGGCCCACATTGATTCTCAGTCCTACCAATTTAACACTGCACCCCACTGAGTTACAACACCCCACACATGGCGCTATGGCCCATTTAGCTTCCTGGCAGAGCTGAAGCAACTGTGTCCTCATGCTCCACAGGTAAAGCGATATCCTCAGCCACATTCATCTGAACATCTCATTCTTCCATCCTCAAAACTTAAAATCAGTCTCTGAGAAAACAATATATATATGTGTGTATATATATTTATATACAAAGGATATTTTTATCAAAGAATAGTTACCTGCAGAGGACTAGCTAGTGGCCTGTTTCTAGGTACTGCAACTGTTTTGTGAAAACTACCATCCTCTTCAGACACAGGCATCTTTAAAATGGAGCTGGTAAGAAGATTCTGAACAGGAAAAGAAAAAACAAACAAACAAACAAAAATGGTTTTCAGCAACTAACAGGAACAACCTGAATTCAAATGTATTAAAAGCAAGCTCAGCCAGACTGCAGAAGTTGTCGCACTGGGTAGTCACAGATGGGGAGCAGATCTCAGCCTGGGGTCCCTGGGACTTGGCTTTGCAGGAGTATTGCCATGTCCAAAGGTTTTCCACCCAGTGAAACTCCCAAATGCAAGAATAACAGTAACATTGAATAGTCCCAGGAGTCCTGGCAAAGCAGAGGAAACCACTTTCATGCAAGGTCTCCTTTGCACAAACCAAGAGAGACTCTCTCTTTCTTTTACCAGTTTTTAACTCCACAATCTAGACATTTCTGTACACAAGTGCAGGTGTCCTCCTAGTGCAGGCCTTTCCCAAAGTCCGTGGGCTGCAAAATGACTGCAACTTCCGATACCTTCTATAGGCATTACAGTGATCTAATCAAGAGTGGGATTTCACCTTTTATGTTTAGTACAGGAAAAAGATATAGAAATAATGAATAATGCCTACCTGTGAAGAAGGTCAGACAAAATATTTTCACTCTTGCATATAAGAACTGAACAGAGATGTAAAACTAAAAAATTATTTGATGGTGTGAAAACTTACTGGCACATCTTCCATAGCAGACCCAGGTGCAAAGAGCTGAGTGTTCAGGTTTTCTCCTTCCCAGTGATTTGAGCAAAAAAAATTTCCACCTTTATCTGTTGGAGACTCCACCTGAAAGCAGGAAAGGCATAATAACAACCAGTACCTAAGTGACCAGGAGATTTCTGTCAGTTGCTTAATAAATTGAACAAATATTCTTCACAGTTGTGTCTAATGTCTGTTTACAGTAACATCTTTTATAGCACCCTTGCTCTTTGAAGACGAAAAAAAATTAAAGGTCCTCAAAAAAATCCCCATCTAATAAAACTTTAAATACTTGCACTCAGTGCTCTGTCAGTATTCAGGAGTTTAATCCCCTAGAAAGGATTGAGAATATATGTATTTTTAGAACTTTAGTGACAAAGTAATATAATTCAATGTTCTCAAATGTTCAGGTTTCTAAGTCACTCCATGGAGCTTGGTCCCCATGGGGTTCTTCTATATTTTTCACCAATGTTTGAAAGATTCAATCCAAATTCCTATCTAATTTTTCTTTTCTTTTTAAGTTTCAAACGAAAACTGCATTAGAACAGCCCAAGCAAACCCCTGCTGAAAACAGCAGAAAGACTTCTATGGAAATCAATGGGAGATGAATTAGGCATGCCTAGTATACTATATGGAACCGACACTAAGATCTTGGGGCTCACATGAAAGAAAAACAGACACAGCTATTTAACAGAAAAGATATTCGTGGAAGTTTCTCAGAAAGAGTTCTGAATTAAATTGCCTCAGGTAAGTTTGAGATTTACCTCTTGTTTGATTTTCTTCAGCAAAGGGGGTCCACTTTCATGTAGCCCAGCCACTATTGCAGATTCCTCCGACTCCTGCTTGATAACATCCTGCAGATCTTCTACAAGATGAGTCGGAGTTTGAGGCTGAAAGGAAGAAACGTTATATCCAAGTCCCAGAACATCCCTCTGCACTAATATCAAAGCAACTTTTATCATTGTTTCCTGCTTACCAGCATCTTCAAAGGACCGTATTTGATTTCCTGAGCTGCAAGTGCGTTTTTGAATGGAGTGGGTGTTCTTGGAGAGCTTTCTAATATCGACCTCTTGATTGCTGGAGTTCTGAAACTTCGAAAAGAGGGAGAGGAACTTTAAAGGAAGATGCTTGGGAATACTACCTCTTTATAGAAATATGTGCATACAGGCAGTGGCTGTTGTAAGACTTGGGGAAATATTTCCCTGCAAGCCTATAATCCATTTTGCTTTTCTGGTAGAACATTTATTTTACTGTGATAAGGTGTAATGGCTTTATTTTAAAAACTGGTCAGCCTATATGCATGACTGTTCTGTATAAATAACCTACCTCCACAGTCATGAAGTGGAAGTTTTACTCCAAACTAAGAAAAATCTGAATGAGTTAGCAAACAACTCTGGAAGAAGCATAGAATCATAGAACAAACCAGGTTGGAAAAGACCTCTGAGATCATCAAGTCCAACCCATACCATCTAGTTTCAAACTCCCTGCCACAGGCACAGACACCTTCCACTAGATCAGGTTGCTCTGGGCTTCATCCACCCTGGCCGAGGACACATCCATGGGGCAGCTTCAGCTTCTCTGGGCAACCTGTTTCACTGCCTCACCACTCTCTCAGTAAAGAATTTTTTCCCTGTATCTGGTCTAAACCTGCCCTCTTTCAGACTGAAGCATACACTGACCCAGCCCTTTGGTTGTATGCAAACTTGAAGAAATGAACCCTCATGAGTCCAACAAGACAACAGACTTACACATGGTTTTCCTTCTGAGCTTTGAAAGTTTGCTCCCTGTGGAACGGGGCGGTACCTGCCGTCTTATGGCCACATACTGGTGTGGAAGTAAGTGCAGGGTTGTCCAGGTTCAAGTTTTCATGATTGGATGAGGTGTTTAAGAACTGCAGGTTAGGAAAGAAAAAATTAACAGGAATATCCAGATTACACAGCTGACTTGTTAAGATGACACCATTGAACAAAAGAAAAAGAAATTATTTTCTTCTGACTGACATGAGTCACTGTCCTGGCCCTATGATGCGAGGAGGTGTATCTGGGATACCTGACTGCACTGTGACAAAATACTCAACAGTTTGGCTGGAGCACTTAGGAAGCCAAACCACGCAATTCTAGTGAGGGAAGTTCTAAAGAAAACGACACTCAGTTCCAATGAGAAACACTTTCTACCACTCTAAGAGACAAATCTTAAAAACCTGATTTGGATTTTCTCCAAATAAATTTTAATTAAGAGCAGTGTGCTCAAGTAAGAACTGGGTGAAAATGAATAAAGTGATGTTTCAGAAACAAACCCACAGGAAACAGGGTTAAATTCCACAAAGATTTACATGGGGAACCTAGGGGCTTTTAACGCAGTAAATGAAGTGTTTATGATAGGAAAATAAATTTCCTATCATCTCCCTCAAAACAAAATGCTTCGTTTTCACAGCATAAAATGAGAACTGCCACCTGTGATGGGTTAGTGGAGTGTTTTGGAATAGAAACAGCTGACCGAAAAGGAGGCAGCAGTATTTGTTTGGATAAAATTGCCCTTGCATGTTTCTATCTAGTTACCTAAAATATTGTTTCTATTTCTAGCATCTACAAATCTGTGGGCATAGTGATATCCTCTACTCTGATAAGAACTCAATGTATTACCTTCTAGACTCAACTTGCCACTTTATAAAAATGGGATGTCTAAATCCTAAAGAAAATCCTGCTTTCACTGCATAAATGACATAGGATTATAATACCTAACAGGTAACAGAAAATAAGTGGGAGATCATTACATTAAATCTTTTGCTATCCTTCATGAAATAGTGTTTCTTTGACTTCAAAGACTAAAGCAAAACCAAGGCAAAACAACACAAACAGACAAACAAAAATCCAAAACACTTTTAAATAGTGCTACAGCTGTGAAACAAAGCAACCATTATCAGGAATTTGGAAATGCATGCCAAGCCATTTTAACAGGCCATTTTCTTCCTCATTCCTATTCCACTCCAACCCACATGGCCTGGGTTGAGGATGGCAAGTGTGATTTGAATTTTCTGGTTGTTGTCCGTTTGTCTCACAACCTGAATGCTATTTAAATGCAGTTTGGGGTTTTCGAGGTCAATGAATCATACTGTAAGTGGACAGAGATGGAAAGTATTACAAATGATCAGAAATGTTAAACTCTAGTAGTTGGAGTTAGCAGCAAGAGCAAAGCAAGAAATCTCATTCCCCTAAAGAAATGATCCAAAAAGGAAAAAAAAGGAAACACAAAAAACCAAGCCCCACAGATGAATTTAAAAGAAGAGAATCAACAGTTAGCTTGTTGATTAACTAAACTCAGTGGTGAAGACTAAGAGCAGTGAGAAGATTCAAACACAGAGTGAAAATCAACAAGAACAACGGCAATTAGTCATTTGTTCCAAAGGATTAGTTTCTAAATTGTTAAGACTGGGGTGACTTTTGAGAATTTAGTAACATCTGTGCAGAAGTCTTGATCTACCTGCGAGGGAGAGAAGGGCAGGCTTTTGACAGGGGAGCGCTTAGGAGGAGTTGAGCTGCTGACGTCAGCTAGGACCAAGGTGCTACCGTGGCCACTGGCTAAGGGGCTGGAGTGCCCTCTCCTTTTGCGAAGAAGGACCCACGGAGCTGCACTGCCCTGTGAGGCAGATAAGGTCTTTGGTGAGCTGAGAGAGCCCTGACTTGACATGACTTGACATGCCTCAAATTTGACATGGCTCAAATTTGGGATGGAGTATTCTTGAGGTCTCTACAAGAACTGGCCTCTCTTTGCTGAAGCTGTGCAACTTTGCCTGAGGGAGCTCTGATAGCTAAAGTTTCTGTGTCTTCAAAGAATTCAGAACTGCTGAGATCACCCCATGATGAAGGATTCTGAAACAACGTGGGAGGTACGGAGGTATAAGACAGTGTATAGTGCCACCTCATGAAAATACAGTGCTAGGATATGCCTGTAACCAACAACAAGTAGTTCCCAGTTCCATTCAGCCTGATCCTGTTTATGTGAGTAGTAACACCGTGAAGACTGTGTTTTCAATACATACCTTGATCACATCAAACTGTCTAACATTCTAATAGTGTTGCTGGCGCTGAGTCCCTAAAGAATGAGTCACATTATGTCCTCATTATCTATTTGCCCAGTGTTTTCTGCTTGGTATGAAGATGGTGCCTTTCGCTAACAAAACGTGCTCTAAACCAAAACTCCTAACCTGCAAGCCTGCTCTGGATGTGCTGAAAGGGACATGATGCTGCATGAAGCAGACACCTCTGCTGCTGAAGGATGTTGCCACCAAGAAACATATTTCAACGTGCTACTTCAGTATGTGTATCACCCCAGAGAAACAACAAGAAAAGGCCCATGTCAATGTCAGTCAGATACTTGGCATTTCAATATGTGTTTACAGTCCTTCACATATGCCAGGTCAAGCTCCTTAAACTTTGAGAACCAGCTACTGAAGCTAAAAAAAAAAAACTTCTAGAAAATGACGGAAATACACGAGCAGCCACACATAAACCTATGGCATGTATCACTTCAAATATAAATAAGTATCATTTCCTTGTTTAAAATCTTTCACAGTGTCTCTGATTTTATTTTAAGGAGACTTAATGTTGAGAGATCGTTTCAAGCTCCTACTGTACAGCTTGCCAAAAGTCATGTTCCCACACCAAGGTGTAGCAGGAAAGGGAGACACCCACAAAAAGCATATGCATCCATGCTCGAGGGCTTCATTTACGAGCAGCTACACTTTGTTATGTCAGGAGCTAAGCTTCAGATCCTGGAGCAACTAGAAATTACTCGGAAAAAAAACAACAAACACATTTAGGACAGTCCCAGTTCCTCTCCCCTTACTCTTTCACCATGCACAAATCCACCTGAGGTGGCAAGTCTACTTACGGAGTCTATTAACTGGAGTGTTTCTGCAAATTCTAAGAGATTCTTAACATTATCCAGGATGTTGCTCTGGTGAACAATCATGCACCGTGCAGGGGATGCACTTTCCTCAGGTAAGCAACCGTGATCCACCGGTGGAGATGGAGTACAGTGGTGATGTTCCCCCAAACAGGAAACAGGTGCACTGTCACCACTGGTCCTGCTACTGTCAGCAATTGTGGTGCTGTGCCAGCCAGTGTAGTTTGATGTGTGGTTCTGTGTCTAGAGGAAGAAGGAAAAAAAAAAAGAAAAGGGAGGGGGGAAAGGCAGAAGGAACTTAGCAATGAAATTGCACAAGGTGTCAGATGCCACTGGAAGAAAGATAACAGTTGCATCATCATCTAAAAGCTTATGCCTATGAAACATTTGTCAAGATGTTTCCTTTCATCAGTGCAAGACCTTGCTTTAAGTAATATTGGCATTGTATTTGTTATCCCAAAGTTACCTTGTAATTCAATTCCAGGATTATAGGCATATATCATTACTAATACATTATCAATTCAATCTGTGTTCCACCAAGAATTCAAAAAGTGTCTGCAAGTCTTTTTCTGTCAGGAGCAAGAAACAGCAGGATTTCCCTACTGAGCATTCAGCACTGTAGAAGGCTAAAGGGTTTAAGAGTTAGAGTTGCTTTTGTCTGCTTATCTCCTTGTCTTCTGCTATCCCTGTCTAATGCTACAGCTTACACCAATGCAATGAAGAGGCTGTCAAATCAATGTGGTTAGGAAAGCAGAAGAGCAAATTAACAGAAGTTTCTTTCCAGTGTGATCATGCAACAGAAGAAATTGCAAAACATTAACTAAAGTTAAAAGTGGCCAAACTAACGTATCATGCATGCAGCTGTTTTACTATTAATTTCAATATTACCCAAAAAAAGAAAAAAAAAAAAAAAAGAATCTGCTGGCTATCACCTATCTTCAAGAACGATTTTGGGATTCTTGGCTTTGGTGATGGTGTTAAGTAATTACGTAAGGGTTTTCACACATTAACATCCAATGGCATATACAACAAAGTGTGAGAATTCAGTAATAGCCAGCACTTGCTCCACACATGCAGTTATGAAGAATCTAACATTATTTGGAGAAGTAAAACAAACTGTCAAACATGCACCAAGTCTGAAGCTTATAAAGTTTAAAAAACACAGCTGAAGGAAAGAATACAACAGAGAAGAAAAATCTAATGCACAGGCACTACATTTTCATCACATGAACCATTGCACACTTTCAGAAACGCAGATCTCATTGATTAAAGATCTGTAGGATTTTTAATTTTTGTACAGTCATTGTGCTTCCAATACTACATCATGTTAGAGACCCCAGTCCTGCTCCGACTGTGCAAAGTAAAACACCTGCAAATTGTTTGTTTGTTTTTAATAGAAGAATTTATGAAGCAAACGTAGATTATATGTGTGCTATGTTTCATTGTTTCAAAACTGAAATATAGAGCCTTGATTAGTACTGGAGGCAGAGGGGGAGTAAAAAGTTAAAAAGACAAGCACTGGGGTAAGGCTGCTATCCCTCCATCCAAGCACACGGTGACAATCTTACTGGTAATGCCTGCTGCCCTTTCAGTTCATTCTCAGTCGACATTAGTAGCAACTCTAATTCCTTTATTCGTTTTTCTTTCTCAGGGTCTTCATCATTATAGTGTCTCTGAAATTAAGAGTTAAGGGAAAAGAAAAGATAAAGGTCTGATAGGATGTAGCAACTAAAATGCTTATGGCTTGCCGACCTGTGGTTATAACAGCCAAATTAGATCCAAAGATGAAAAAGCATCAATTGTGCTTTTCACTACCAAAGTCCCTGCTGAATTTCAGTATAGACATTTGAAATGGAGAAAGTGAATGCTATCACACCAGATGTCAACTACCGTGTTTTAAATCCACTTCAGAAGGAGCAATTATTTGCCATGTTAGAAGTCCCCCACCTTCCCCATTTTCTCTTTTCACCACACTTAATACATTAGAATGTTTCCTTAATATACAATATCTGCATTTACATTTATCAAATATTTAAGAAATTAACTCTTGAAATGAGGTTTAAGTTATCTACCTGGATAGCTGCAGCAGCTGGCTGAGGAACATTGACAATATTTACATGCAGTGCTACTGGATATGGGATCTGACCAGGAACCTAGGCCAAAAAGCAAAAGACACTAAAAGTTAATACTTCTATCATCTTATCTGCTTGCACTGTGAATTTGTGTTAAATATACTTTGGTTTTAGGTACTTAATATTTACAATCTATGGAGATGAAATAATAAAAAACCTAACAATGTTTACAAGAAAAGTAAATAGTTTTTCAGTAATATGAGAGTGAGCATTACAGAGGAAGAAAGAAAATTCATATATGAAATATTTACCCTTCCTGAATGAGAAAAGATGAATAATTTATAGACGCATTTGTAAATTGAAGTGAAAAAAGCAAAAGATGCAATTTATTATCATCTAAAACTACAATGCAAATGTCTGAAGCAGGAGCCCGTTTCATTATTAATCATTAATTGAAAAGGAATCTGATTAAAAACAATACTTGTTTACTTGGTTCCAACAGGCAACCCACAAACAGAATATTACTGAAGGGAACGTGGGAGACTTTGACATAGAGCACAGAGCTAGCCAGATTCAACTGATTTTCAAGAAATTTAATATTCACCACACTAAGAAATACATTAACTGCTTACAAGGCATTAAAATCATTGTACCCAATTCCAATCCCTGAATCCCATCCATTTGAAATGTACATGTTTTCGTCACTGACTGAAGTAAAAGTCAAAGAAGTCCTCATCTGACATCAACCACATAAAAGTCCCCCAAGACTGAGAGGACACCTTTCACGATCCTCAAAACCAGGTACGCCTAAATTGCACCCATCTATTCAACAAAGCAACCACCCCCAGCACATCTTCTGGCACTCACGTTTTGTGGCTCAGAGATGTGGTAGTAGGGGTAGTCACTGCTCAGCGGGGGCTGGCCAGCTACTGGCAGCTGGGCAGATGGCGATGGGTTGTGAGCAAAGGCCATCAAGTGGTTGCTCTTCTGAAAGCCAGCAGCTGCTGAGGAGTGACAGGCTTTGGAGGACTCCTGCAGGTAGCCCTCCTGCTCAACCTTTCGGCGCATAGTGGAATTCCAATGGTTCTTGATAGCATTATCAGTTCTGCAACAGAAATACATACACTTGAGGAGCTTCAAAAATGAGCATTTCCTATTCAGACAGGTCAATAGGCAGGGAACTGCTGCTGGCATTTCTATTTAAACCCTGAACTCTTCTCTGACCTTCCTCCTTCCCCCCCCATTACAAATTCTACTCTCAACTTCTTGGGAAAGAGGCTCAGTACAAAAGTTAGTGGAAAAATAAATATGGGCTAAGGTTTTTTATGTACTTTTTAAAAGCAATCTCTATGCCTTAAATCCTCAAACTGTAAGAAATTCAGCTTCACCTCATTCCCATGAGATGAGGTGACAGCAAATGCTAACACCCTCTTTGAGGCTAGCCTAAAGGATGCCAACATCATCCTTCTAGGTGTTAATATTTCAGTGGAGTCTTATGGTATCTCACTGCTGGAAAGAAAGGCTGTGGAGAACAGCTGTGAAAAGACTAACTTCCAAGCAACTTTTCAGCAGGCAACCTAGACAATGACAATACCATGCTGTACATAAAAATTCAGTAAACAAAGATGTTGGGATTTTTCTTAGATGCAGAAAAACTGAGATTCAAATTCTCACATACATGAGTCAGAAAAAGCAAACTTACCAAGTCTATGAGATTTTAAGAGTATGCTTAGAAACAGCTCCTCTATTTAAAAAACATCACCACCACACAGTATCATTGAACGCAGTATCTGTGATGTGCGGAAGCTACAAAAATATTTCAAAAGGGCTAATTCCTTTCTTGTTTTCTTCTAGAAGGTGAAAGCAGCCTAGCTAATGCCCGCTTAAAAGGCTATCATGACCTTAGGCATTATATTTAGGTCTTGAAGATGTTTTACCAAATAGCAGGAATAAAAGTAAGAAGGAAAACCTCTTTCTTGCTTACATTATGTACCTTATTTCCTTGCCTACAGTTTGAGTCACTTTTAATCACAATGAATAAGACACTGAATCTTTGAAATTAAATGCAAGCTGTGCCTAAGCTTTCAAAAAGACAAATATTTCCAGGACCAGAGTTTGTGGAAGTTAGTTTCTCCTGTTTTATACATCAATTTTTAACAGGCTGAAATCATCTGGATGATTCAGGAGCAATTACAAAAGTTGAAGCAGCCTTCTCTTAAAACATTTTGAATAAAGAGACTGGATTTCATGTTGAAGGCATACCCTTCACTGAATGTATATTACGTTCCCCTTGTAGAGCCTGATCCTTTAAATCTGAACCTTTAAATTTTGAGTTATCACAGGCAGAAATAAGACTGCGTGGACATTTAGGAAGCTGTTACGGTCTTGCTCTAGTTACAGGGTCTTTTTACCTATGACAAACATTAAAAGAATGTAAAAATAGCGTACTGTTCCATGTACTGACCAAATAGTGCAGTTCCCCACTGAGAAAAATGCACATCAGTGTCACTGGCTTCCCAGGTTTTGATTCCAAAATTTTTCGATTTACAAAGTACAGCCTGAGGAGACCGAAACAGACTGCTCAGACCTGCAGCTTTTTCCTTTTTTCCTATTTAAGAGCTAAAGGTATATGTCATTACCGTCCAGGCAGCAACTTTGCAATCTCTGCCCATCTGTTTCCCAGCCTCTTGTGTGCCTGGTAAATAATTCTATCTTCCTCTTCTGTCCAGGAGGTTTTCTTCACTTCTGGGTTCAAATGGTTGTGCCACCTCTCCCTGCACTGTTTTCCAATCCTTCCCTTCAAATGCTTAGCAATGACAGACCAGCGCTTTGGACCGTATTTCTGCACGAGCTCTATAACCTTCAAAGAAGGACATAAAAACTGCCTGTATTTAATGATGCATAATGAATCAATGAACTTTTTTCTGTGGTGGAGCAGTATTTTCAACGACATTTCTCAAAACTGCCACAGCAAAACTAACAGACAATTAAGGCTCCCCACTTCCCATTCCTACTTTTACCCAAAAGGAAAAATCTAGTAATAGTTAAGGCATTTCTAGACTGCAATTCTACATTACAGTGCTGTAAAGCAACATTAAATTAATTTATTTGCATAGTAAACTTAGAAAGAACTACACAAATACAGTCTTCCTCTGGCCACAGTAGCATTGAGACCACCAAAGTTTCCAGGAGTTTTGCCCCAACACAAAAAATCTGCTAGTAAGGCATTAATCAGTCAGAAAGGAAAACTGATTACCCTTTGATCCTCTTCTTTAGTCCATGGACCTTTAATAAGTTCTGGGTTTAGTACCTTCTGCCATCGGTGCTGGCACTGCACATCTGTCCGATTCTAGTGAAATGTAAAATACACAAAGTAGATAATTCTTGAGACAAGACGAATGTAGAGTGAGAACGCTCTTATTCAGGTACACTTGTTCCCAACACATTTCACTGGTAACTATGACTACCAAAAAACATGGAGTGATACAGTAAGTCTGAGAAAAAGGTGCTCAACTATCAGTTTGCTCACTGAATAGATAGACTTCCATCGCTTCTGCAGTGAGGACTGTACCACCCAAACTACACAAACTTAATCTTCCTCATCTGCACAATAGCTGGCATGCTTTCCTGTACAGTTTCAGCAACAGCCAAAGTGTTCACAAAGCAATGATCTTCAAAACCATGTTTACAATTCACCAAACCAATTTTTTTTTTTCATTGGGCTGAGACATTTTGTTTCAGTGTCACATTGAGAATCTACTGTGCAAGACCCCACCACCCTCCATTTTTGCTTGTTCAATTTTTTTCCAACCCTTTTGGAGAAGTGAAAAGAAAAAAAAATTGTAAGGGTTTCTACAGTAATCTAACTAAATTTTAAGGTCTCCATTTGTGGAGGTTTTCTATCTCCCGCAAAAATGTAACTATAAAGCAACCACTCCCCTTCCCCTTTATGAGGGAAACCTCTGATAAAGAGTTGTCACTAGGCCTGGAAGCAGAAACCAATATCCACTTACAGGAAGGAAATTAGCAATGACTTTCCAGTCTTCTGTGCCATTCTGCTCCACAAGCTTCTTCAGTTTCTCATCCTGAATCATTAAAAGACCAGACATAATTAATACTGCCATCTCTTATAATGCAGAAGAAATAATTTATTTTTTTAATTTGTCTTTCTAGTTTTTTGTGCATCTACTTCTACTTCCTCAGTGTACCAGAGGGTGGTCTGGTGTTTGAATTGAATACTTTCAATTGAATACTTAGAATTGCCTAAACCAGGAGATTTTTCTACTCCAGTGGATTTTGGAAGGTTCTTCATTGTGCTGCAGGAGAAAGACTGACTTCTGTGCTGTTCTTTGACTCACATTATACATTCCCATTTTACTGCTCAAAGCATTGTAACTGTTACTCTTGGATTGGACTTAGAACAGGGTATGGATGTTCAGACGTCAGGCCTCAGAATAACAATGCAGTTCAGTAACACTCAGGCACCCAGATACCTGGGTACTTCCAAAAATCATAGCCTTAACTTTCATGTCTTGCAAGTAATGGGAGTCCCTGTAATTTGCTCATGGCCCATCCATGTACAATGAATGCACGGTAAAACTAATGGCTTCTTTAAGCTCCCGTTCTCTGTGAGGGAGTTTTGCATGCTTGCAATAGCAAGAAATTTGGCCCAGTATTTTTAATGATAAGGCCAGAAAGGTAGACCCTAAAGACAAAATAAACCAATCTCATGTACTGGGAAAGACTGAGATAGTATAAAACAAATGAGAAATGCCCCAAGAGATAAGAGGAGGAAAATAACCTTCTCCTTCCCCAGTTAGCACCTCCCAGTATGCTCCCAGTTCACGTGACAGGACAATGGCCATTCCTTCCTCCAGGGCCACATTACAACCACATCCACCTTTGTAAGAGCTGATTATGATTTTTAAAAAGAAAGAAAAAAAAAAAGCCTTGCAAGAGGTGACCTGCCACTATTTATATACCAATATACATTGTTAGAGAGGAAAAGTCAAAACATAACTCAAGAACTGCATTAATGTATTTCACAATAAACTCAAACCAGTTAAATGGCCAAAGGATACCCATCTGGCAAAGGAGTTTGATACCACAATTTTCCCAGACAGTCAGCTCAAGGGTATCATGACTAAAACATATTCTGACCTTCAAAAGCAAAACACATCTTGAATGCTCAATTTGGATACTGCTGGATTTCTTTCCTCCAGCTTTTAAATTATTTCCACTTGGAATCATAATGGCGCAATTAAAGTGCAAATTTCAAATGGCAGAGAAGGACTGCAGCAGTTTCTGCCACAGTTGTTTGCTGCTGTGGGACACTGAACTCACGTCAGTTCTCTCATAGCAACCATCTTCAAACAAAAAGAGCCATGTAGTAACAATCAAGCACTGCTACAGGTGACTCTGAACCTGTTTCTCCAAGAAGGATTACACAGAGACCTACATATCACAAACCTGTAACACAGAGCTTAGTAAGAATATAAAAATTGTATTTATACATTTTATTTAAAATGTAAGAACAATTCTCTAAGTTAAATAAAAGACTGAATGTAGCTAATGGGTCAAAAAAGTTGTCCTCATTGATACACATGGGACCGTCACTGAAGTTAGTTTGCAGATAAGCAACATGGTGAAGAACATGAAGCAACTCGGAAAATAATGTCAACCATGCTCTCTATCTTTTTATGTGCACCAGAAGAATGAACTCGGATTTACCTCTTCGCGGGTCCACCTGGTTTTTCCTAAGTGACGTTTTCCAGTCTTAGGGAGCAGGCCATCATAATCGTGATCATACATTTCAACATCTTCTTCATCATCATCGCTACTATATATACTGCAGAAAGTAACACAGGGAGACAGAGTGGAACATGAGGATTTGAGCTGCTTAATTACAAAGCACAAAAAACCCCAGTACAATCCTTACAAAGGTTACACAGATAAAAGTTTTAAAACTTGCACAACAAGATTTTGTTCTGCATTCTGTTGTTCTAGTATTCTGAACTGGTTCTGCTGTTTTTCGTATCCACAGATACAGCAAAGGGCTGGCAACCTTCGTATTACTCTGCATGTTTAGACCTGCTCTTAATGTTAGATCAGTGGTGAATTACACATTTGGCAAACTTTCAACCAATGAAGGCTTCAAATTAAAGCACAATGTTTGGGACAATAAAAAGAACTAGAGGCTGTGTCCAGTACAGAAGCACGTGTTTAAGATCTTTAACTCATGCTACACATTCTGAAAAATATTAGTAGTTTTGTATGTTTTATACAGCAGATATTTATACTGTTCCATAATAAAACAGACTGTGAACAAATACAAAAAGTTAAACAATAATAACCTTCTCTGAGAAAAGGGTATGCAAAGGCAAAAGTTTTTACAATTAAGTAAAGACAGAAAGTGGTAGCATTAACATGCAATAAGCTCTCATATAAAATGTGCCTTCCATTTGTAGGTCTGGACAGACAAGGACTGAGCACAAGTATGTTTAATATCATGCAATCAACGAATGATTGAACCCTTTCATATCCTCCATTTCTCTAACTTAATACTTTATTACCTCTATTCTATTTCTAAATCCCTCACGCTGTTTTTGAAATACTCTGCTTCTAACCTAATTCATGACTAAGGGATTTCCCCAGAGGCTATCTATGGGTAAAAAGGGCTCCACTACTCTTTTCACAAACGGTACTTGCTCTACCTAGCTAAATAAACCTAAAAGAGAATGTTTTGCAACAGGAGGTGCCTTTCTGGTGGACAGTATTTTATTTTTAACTTTTAAGGTATAAGCAGCAGTTCTGGTACTTCAACTAAGAGATGCTAGCCACGAGTGCTAGAAAGGAGTCAATGTCATGCTGCGAGACTAAAATCTGTGATATATCTGATGGTATGGCATGCTGTGGTATGTTAAGGTATGAGTAAGACATTAAAAGAAAGTTATTTTGTAATAAAATTACCAGGCATTGTTTACGTTGCTAACCTGTTTTCAGGAGATTACTTTAAATTAAGTTGCAGTGAAGCACAGAGACTGTTAGTCAAGATGCAAACAACCCCAAAACGCAAGCTGTTGAGCCTACATTCTTTTAAAATACTGGGCTAATCACACCGTACATCTTCCACCTTGTTTTCTGGCCTGTGGCATGTGCCATGAAAACTATGCTACGTGTAAGAAGTTTTCCACAGCCTGCCGTGATGCGCATGGCTTTCCCCTAGTCTCTGCCAGCTGGCCCCTGACTCACTCACCCAGCCCATCGCTGGCACCCTCTACTCGCCCCCACCACGCTGTAGTCCTGCAGCCCCACGGCTCGCTCCCTGTTCCCCAGCCCACGCAACCACTTGGGGTAAGCCCTGACTGAAGCTCCCACTCCGCACGCACCCCTCGTTGGCAGCTGGAGCCTCTCGTGCTTGAGCAAAGCTCCCACGCTCCAGCTGCCACCACTGCAGGCTCTGTCCCCAGCCGCCGCTCAAACTGCATTCGCTTTTCTCAATGACACACAGAGACAGCTGCGCCACTGCCCATATGCCAAAGGAAGTTTTGTGGCTCAATTTCCAAGTATCATTTTGAAAATGAGTTTCGTAGACAGCAACCACCAGGTACGCATCCACTGGCGGCGCTTCCTGCGCGGCGGGGCCGTGCGGGCACCACAGGGAAGCGCCGCTCTGCAGCGGCAGCACGGCATCAGAGGCGACCAGGTTAAAGGACTTCAGTGCAGGGTCAGTACTGTAACAGATTTATTTAGATAACCGGGGCCTCGCTGGCACCGCAGAACCGAGCAAACCCCACTGTACTACCTGCGTTCTCCAGTAGAAGAAATGAGCCCTTTTTCGGGCTGTCGGGACGCTCAGTAGCTTCTTCAGCCAACCGGTCCCTCAGCAGTGCTCTAAAACTTTATTTTGCACCTCCGGTCGCAGGCCCGAAGCCTCCACCCGGGCGGCGCGGCACGGATGGCAGGGCACGGCATGGCATGGCATGGCACGGCGCTCCGCCCGGCCGGGACAGCGCATTGGATCCCCCCCGCCCGCCTCAGTAGCGCTGCGCTGTTCGCCCGGGCAACGGGCTTGTGCAACGGGGAAAAGAATGCGGGGGAAAAAAGGGGGAGAGGGAAAAAAAAAAAAGAAGGAAAGAAAGAAAAGAGGAGGTGTAAAGGAAATGACCTGCCGCTGCTACCGCGACTGAAGGAATTCGGGCACCAGCCCCGCGGGGCAGAGCCCGTGCCCGCTCCCGCCGGGGCGGCCCCGTGGGCGCCGCGCCGGCGGATCAGGCGGACACCGCGCAGCCCCTGCCTCCCAGCCCGGGGCGGCGGAGCGCCGTGTCCCTGCGGGAGGCGCCCGCGAGGCAGCGGTGGCTGTCCCGTTCTCTTTCGGGAGAGATGGGCCGGGTGATTCACCGCCAGCCCCAGCGACAACCCCGCTCTGACACTGGAAGTACAGCCCGGCGCTCGCCCAGCGGCTTGCCGCCTCCTCCCGTACCGCAAGCCCCTCTTCCTTAAAAAGAGCCCCCCAAGCCCTCCAGTCCTGCCGGACGGGGCCGGTGGCCGGCCAGTGACAGGCAGGGCTGCGACCTTCTCCCCTGTCACAGTCAGCCAAAGGGGAGGGGAAGAGGAGAGGATGCCGGGCTGCAAACAGAAAGAGAAAAAAGCCTCCACGTGTCCGACCCGCCGTCCCAGGCTAATTAGACAACAACCCCGCTCTGTGCGCCCGCCCGGCAGCGGCGGCACTGACACGGCCACGCGGCGCTGCCGCCCCGTCCCGTCCAGCCCGCCGCCCCCGGGGCGCCGCCGCCCCCGGCCCCTGGCGCGGCACGGATCGCTCCCGCCCGGGTGCGCGGCAGAAGGGCGGGCACGGGTGACAGCTCCGGCCGAGCGCTCCATCGGACCGGCAGACCCCCGCAGCTGCCCGCCCGCGCTGCCGCGCTCCGGCATGTGCCGAGCGGCGTGTGCCGGTGAAAAGCTAAGCCCCGCGGGGTGTAACTAGTCCCGCTGGAGATAGCCGCGCTCCTAAGGGCGAAAGAGCTGCCACTGCACGAATAAATGAAAAAAAAAAAAAAAAGTCGAGGGAGAGAGCCCAATGCCCGCACCCGCCGCCCACCTGCTGTGCTACCCCGCCGGGAATGAATGAATGAATGAATGGGACGGGACGCGCTACCTGCCGCCGCCAAGCCCGCCAGACATTGTCCTGACCCGCAGCTGCGGGGCGCTCAGCTCCGTCGGACGCCGCTCTGGCCCCGGCGAGCAGCGAGCCCCGGTCCCCCCCGGCCCCCGCCAGGCGCGGGGCCCGAGTGCCCCGTCATCGGCAGCTCTGCGGCGTGTCCCGCAGAGCCGCCGCTCCCTCGGCGTCTCCGGAGGAGGGGAGCGCTTTGGGGTGGGGGGCGGAGTAGACCAGGTGCACGGAGCACGGGGGGCTGCCCCGTCCGCCGGGCGAGCCCGTCTCCCGCTGCCGCCTTCCCCCTCTCCCGTCCCGCGCCCCGTCTGACAGGCGGGGAGCGGAGCGGAGCAGGGCCGGCCGTCCCCCGCCCGCGGACAGCGGGTTACCTGTGCCGGGGTCTCCGGGACATCCTCGCACCGGCCGCTGGGGGAGGAGAACGGGGGAGCCCGCGCCCGCCGCCGCGCCCTGCTGCCGGGCTGCGCCTGGGCGCTCCGCCGCCGCGCACGGGAGTGCCGAGGAGCCGCGGGAGGAGGAGGAGGAAACAGGTTGAGATTAAAGAGTAAACTCTGTAAACAGAGATGCCATCAAACAAAGGGCCCTTGGACACTCCCCCTCCCGCCAAATCTGGCGCCCCTGCAGTGCGCAGGCGCCTGGCGGGCCCGTGCCGCGGCCGGCGGGCGCGGGGCGGGCGCACCGGGGCCGCGTGCCCGACGGGGCCCTCGCGCCCCGCCCCTCCCGCGCTCCAGCGGCGGGACCGCCTCGCGCCGCCGCTCCCGCCGCTCGCGCGCCGCGGCCCCTCGACGGCGCCTCCGCGGCCCCCCCGCGCCCCGGGGCCTCACTGAGGGAGCTGTCGGGGCGGGGGCAGCCCCTCTGCCCCGTGCGCGGCGGGCGGAGAACCGGAGTCCCTCCGTGGGGCGGCGCGGCCGCTCCCGAGGCGACCCCGCCGACCACCCACCCCAGGCCCTCGTAGGTGCTTCCCGCCGACGGGCGGAGTGCGGGCCCTCGCGGGTGCACCTGCTCCGCTCGCCGCGTGGCGTGCGGGCTGCAGCGGCACCGGTCCCGCGGGGGGAGGGCGAGCAGCTCTCGCTGGAAATATTAAAGGAACTCCGGGGGGACTCAGAGGGAGCCGGGGCCGGGGCTGCCCGAGGCTCGGCTGCGGTTGCCTCGCCGCGGGGGATTTCTGCTATAGTTCCCCTTGCTGCTGCGCGGCGGTGGATGCTGCCTGCCGCGACGGCGGCGGGAGAGACGGCGGGTGTCCGATGAGCTCCAGAGAACACGTTTTTTGATACAGAAATGAGTCAGGATGTGAAAAATGGCGAAACATGCAAAGTTCCCAGGCTGCGCTGCTGCTTGAAAAATCATGGCTTTGCAGCGGTTTCGGCGCACTCGCCCTTTCCTCAAAGGCCCGCGGCTCATCAATGAGCCGCCGATGGGACGGGCCGGGGCGGGGCCGCGGGCCGCTCCCGAGCCCGCGGCGCCGCTCCCGGAGGGACGTGGCGGGATGCCGGGGCCGTGCGCTGGGCACAGCGCAGCCCCGTCACAGTCCCCGCCACCGCCCCGTCGGGTGTCTGTGCGTCCCGTAGGCTCCCGCTTAACGGGATTCACCGGCTCAGGCAGCGCGGAGATGGACAGACAGCCGGCGCTGTCTCCCCGAGCTCTGCATCTGGTCTTGGGATCGCACCTCGCCCTAAATGCCGGAGGGTGCACGTCGTTCCTGTTTTGCCCCAGCCATGCCTCGGGCAGGAGGTGCCGTCCCACCCGGCCTCCATTTGCCTACCTGTTAAAGGGGTCTGCTGCACTGGGGCACCAGCATTAGGACAGGGGAAAGGGGCTTTATGCCAATGCCAATGGCAGCAGGAGAACTGGAACACTGAAGACTAATTCAGTGTATAACACCCTTGGTAAGCTTTGTATAAAGTGCGCATTGGCATCAGCAGAGAACAAGGCTACTCAGATCCTTTAGATTTTTGAGATGGGTTTTAGTTGTGGGGTTTGGGTTTTTTTCCGGTAAAGATGTATTTTGGGAATTAAGGGAATCAGGAGGTCAGAGGAAACACAGGAAGACATCGTTGGGGATGTTACTGTTGCAGAAACAAAGCTGATCGTAATCCACAACAGTATCATTTTTCTCTGTGTGTAAAATGTTCCTGAATCCTTTACAGAAAATTATTTAAAAATAAGAGAGGCTTCTGAGTACTGCTCCACTGGTGAGTATTGCTTTTGTACACAGGCCCAAAGCTGGACCTGTCATCAATGCAGCTGTAAGGATATGATAGGATTCACTGGATGTACTGTCAAGGACACATACTACTTCTCTGTGCCTGAAAATGCACAGTTCACCGAAATGGTGTGATCATTTTGCCTAAAGTATCCCAAAAAGGTACAAACAAAACTGTGTGAGGTTTTCTCTTCCTTCTTCTGCAGGAAACACTCTCTCTTATTGATTTTTGCAAATATTTCAGCGTTAACCAAGACAAATCCAACATCTTCCTGATTTGGAAGTAAATTTGCTGAACAAATGCAAAGAATGTCTATTATTGCTCTCAAGAGAACTTTTAATATGCACAATTTTCTTCTGACGATTTTTGTGCGAGTATACATTTCTTCTCCGGTGACTCTGAAAAAATAATTCCCAGATTGAAAAAGAAATCCACTACATTTCATTAATAAGATTACATAGAATTGCAAATAACACATATCTTACTGTGTTCAAAATAGAGAGGGGAATAACACCTCTGCTCCAGGTTAAAAGATCAGTCTTCCCCAACTCACTCTGCATATATAAACCTCACTATTCAGTCAGGTGTGTGCATGCACTCAACTGGTGTTGTTTCATTCTTAATGTTTAAAATTTAACTAAAAACAAGCCACAACTCTACTATTTTGCTTTCTTTCCTGAGCATCTGTAGCTTGGGGGAATTTGGGGTATCAGGGTTCTTTATAATATATTCTTGCCAAAGCCCAACAGAAAAAGAAATCACCCTTCTACATCTCAAGATATCATATGCCCTAGATGTGCAGTAGCAGACTTCTTCTTATACTACCCTTCCAACTTCATTAATTAGTGATGTCTCTGAGCCTATTTATAGTAATTGCATCAACTGACAGAGTAATTGTAAACAGTGTAACTGCATGTTCTGGTGAACTTTTTTTTTACTTACACAAATTGTATAAGTAATTTAATAGAAGTAATTATATAAATAGTAAATACATATTGAGTCACTTGATTTCCTGCACCTCCACTACAAACATAAACCTCAAAATGGAGTTTAGAAGTATGTGAAGAAAATTTCGAGAATCCTAGTTAAACATCAAATCCAAGATGTGCTGTCCTCTTCCTTAATGTTTTCCTGTTGTGATCTGCTATTTAGTGGGCAAGACGTGGGCTGAGTATTGCCAACTCAGTGTTTAGTTAATTAGGCATAACCAAATAGAAAAGGAATAGTGAAGGAAATGTAGCTGTGAGAAGAACAGTAAGACAGAACACCTGGATTTTCCAAATGGGCAGGAGGTAGTTGCATACATTCTTTTTAGATTTTGAAAATCTCCTCAGCAATCTCTATCTACCTGTCCCTACTTTTTCTGAGTTTGTCACAGAATCTGCAAGCAGTACTGTGAAATCAGTGTCTAACAACTTATATGTGTCTAACAACACACATATTTTTTTCATATCACAAGTGTTATAAATTGCCAGCCTTCTTTCCCTCTGGTCCAAAGGTATCTTAGAATGCAAGAAGGATTTTTATAAATGTATGTTAATGTGTGCTTTTTTGTTTACTTTCTGCATTTCTTTCAGTCTATACAGCATAAAATAACAAGCAACTTTCACTTTTTTAGTTTCACTTTTAGACTGTAGTTACGGTAAGGTTTCAAATGCAGTTGTGGTATTTTTATAATTGAACATCAGATGGTTTTTGATATTTTGGCCAGAAATGTTTTTCATAAATAATGTTAATACATTTGAAATAAAATAAAAATATATGTTTTCCTTTGATGTAGATTTCCTAACATAAGTTCCTCATGAAAGGAGATAAGAAGATTGATTAAAAACTCAGGGGAAGGAGAAAGAAGACCAGGGTTTAATGCCACTTGTATCATATACCAAGTCACTTAGAGCCATATATTTAGCCAGATTCCCTTATCTGTGGATACAAATTATGTCCCACAATGTGAATTAACGTTTTTGTTCCAGTAAACTCTGCTGTATATGAGGGCCAACCTGGTGTCTGCTCTGCTGGCTTTCCGAGGGGTACCTGCCTCAGAGGCAGCTGGATGTGTTGCCACCCAGATTTGCATGTGTGTTGGGACTCCAAGAACAGCAAGCACATAGGTGTGAGTGGCAATCACCTACCCTACTGAAAATGGACATTGCATGGACCAGGATAGGCCCAAAACAGATGTCAAAGTGTAGGCCAGAAGGAGATGCAGCTACCTCCACACCATCATACATGCATTTTCTTGCAGCCAGAGAAAGGCTACTGAGCTGATTGGAAACTTTCAGCAGCTGGAAACAAGATCCCTCCTAAGCTATGCATCCATGTGCTTGGAGAAAGAAGGAGGTGCTCTGATGGCTCCTACTCCAGCGATGTAGATGGCGTACCCTCAGTCATTAAGTTGCACATCTGGTTTCAGCACATGCAGTTTTAGAGCCCTCTAGACCACTGTTACCCTGTGATTATAGCAGAGCACCTACACTGAAAATCCTGTGTGTTCTGGTAGAGAACAAAAATAAGACAGCAGCCATTCAGACTTACCAGTTGATTGCACTATATAATTTTCTTTATTTATTTTTAAAGTCTAGTTGACCTTAGCTCAGGTCAGGTAGCAATAAGAATTCACTAGTAAGGTGAGACTGAATCAACTGAAATTTTATAAGAAAGGAATAGCTAGCAGAATAAAAGGTCTATTTCCTTTCTGATGTAACATCTAGATTTTCCTGATGTCAAAGTCTTGGACGATCCTGTTGGTTTTAAAGGTAAGGGAAAACCAGAAGGGACCTGTGCTGCTCCTAGGAGAAAACTTTAGATTATAGCTATATAATATAAAATCAAAGGAATGGACATCACTTGATGAAGTTAGGATCTTGAGTGAGGGAGCAAAGGTAAACCTTACAGTCTTTAGCAGAGGCTTTTTTTGTGGTAAGCCCTCTTTGTTTGTGTATGGCTTGGAAGGAGTGTAATGCCTGAGGCCTTCCAACTGCAAAAATAGCTTACTATAGGAACTGAACATATGTTGTACAAAAGCTGTTATTTTATTCGTTCTGAAACAGCATGGTATAGTAGTTGCAAAATGAGGCTTGGGGCAAGTGGCACCAGTTCCTTGGACAAGAGAAGAACCACACAGTGACTTGGCTGCCCAAGCATGGTGCTCTTGGTGGTGTTCCAAGTGCAGTGCCTCCAGTGAAAACCACCTTCTTTCCATGTAAAACTCTACATCATCACACAGAGCAGTCTAATTTCTTTTTAAAACACAGTAGTAACAATCAGAAGCACTAACTCCATATGCAGCTTCATTTTTTTAATCTGTAGCAGGGCACTGACAT